AGACTAGTGGTTCTTAATCTTTTGGGGGTCAAGGAACCCTCCCCCAGTAAAATGATGTATTTTTGGAAGTGCCAGATGTGCCAGATGCCATCTGGAAGTGCCAGATGCTGCTTCCCTCTTCAGGGATCTCTGGTCGTCGCTGAAGCCAGACTGTGGACCCTATGTGTGCTGGATGCTGTGATGGGCTGTTCAGATCCCCCCATTGGGAATGAGAGACTTACTACCCGAGCGTGGCTGGAAGGCAGCCCTCAGCTGCTGTCAGCCCTCTTTGGAGATTGTCTTGATTGGAAGAAAACGTGCCTCCTTCCAGGGTAGGCCCAATTCCAAGACAGATCAATGTGGAAGTGCAAAGGCCTGAATTTCTCACCCCAACTTGGGACAACTCTGAAGGGTCATCCCAGCTCCGAAGTTCCCCATGGGGTTGACTGAGGCCTTTGTCGGAACTGCCTCGAAGCTCGACTTCTCCCTCTGCTGAGACCTGCCTCCTTTGCCTCCCTTCCACAGGTGTTTTTCCCAAGACCATATTCTAAACAACATCTTACACTTTAATCTTTACCTCTGAGTATATTTCCCAGGGGACCCATTAGATTTAAAAGCCCTGCAAAAGTTCCTTGAGGACAGCAGTAGCATCTTAATGCCTACTGGATCTCCAGCAGCTCTCACTGGGCAGGGTGTGTTGTAGATGCTCCAGAAACATTTACTGAATGCATTTGAATGCATTTTCTCCTGCTTCTCTGTTCTGTCTCTCTGTTGTCCCAGCAGGAGAGTTCTCATCAGACATCCAGGAGAAAAAGATGAACCCTTTGGCAGGATGCCAGCAGGACCAGGGCTGTGGGCCTGTTTCTGGGGAAATGTACTAGTTGCCAATGGAAGTGTACCTAACCATGGGGACAGAGGTCAAGCTAACTGGTTACTACAGAGCAAGGTCAAAGGGGCCTGGCTGATGTCAGTGCTGTGTGGTTAGGGTGGAGGCTCAAGGGGATGGCTGGGAGGCTGGAGGCTGGCAGGGATGGGTGGTGGTGAGGGACAGCCTTTTCTTGTAGAGCAAATCATTTAGAAGTTAGACTGGTCCTCAGAACCCAGAAAAACCCTCACTGTAGTTTCCACTATTGGAAACTCCTTCATGAAACAAATATGTATTGTGTCCACCGTCCCAGGCATTGCAGCAGGGATGGTGACCTCAAAAGGCCAGGACTCCAATGCTTGCTCCTCTCACTTGCTTTGTCTCCCAGGCAAGTTACCTCACCTCCCCATTGCTGGCTGACATTTGCTGAATGGTTATTACTATGTGCCCAGTATGTGCTAACTGCTTTATATACACGATTTCACTTCATCTTTACAATAGCTTCATTAGGAGATATATATACATACATATATATATATATATAGTCATCCCATCTTTATAAAAAAGGACACAGGTTCAGGGGGGTCAGCGACACGCCCAAGACGCACAGCTCACCTCAGGGCCAAGGGGAGATGTGAACCCAGGTCTAGTGGAGTGCTGAGGCTGTGTTCTTAGGCACTATTGTGCTTAACGTCTACGAGCTTCGTTTCCACAGCTATGAGATAGGTACAATCAATTCCTACGGCACTGGGTTGTTAGCGATTACATAACCGACGTGAGAGGCCTAGGAGGTGCCCGGTGAATGTCCACTCTGTTCGCCTCCCCATTTCCTTCATCCCCTGCGCCTCAACGCTTCCCTGGGCTGGAAGGAATGATGGCCCCATTTGCCGTCTCTCCAAGGACAAATGTCTCTATCCCAGGTCCAGGTGGTGTCTGGCACACGGCCAGCGCTCACTGAATGCTGTCGACCCAAATGGATGATCTGGGAGTCCCCACCCTCAGCTCTCTGGACTGCAACGTGGGGATCCCACTCGGTCCGTCACTAGTCCCTGATGCAGCAGGCTGTGGCAAGTACCACGAAGACAATTCTCCTGGTGCCACGTAACTGCTCTCAAGCCACTGGAATGTTTAGGTTTTTCTCAGCAGAGCAGAGCAGAAACAGATGGAGGTGGTCCCCTGAGCCCCCCTGACAGAGGAGGTACCAGAATTAGGATGAAGGTATTCTAGGTCCAGCCTGATGTCTCAACTTTCTCCCACGGGCAAACCCCAGCTCGTTCTCACCCCCACCACGCCCCCCGACTGCAGACATGCTCATATACTGGGGGCATTAACCTTCCTTCCACTGGAGGCCCCTGGGAGAGGCGGTGGGCATGTAAGCACTTAAACCTCAAACCTGGAGGTCAGCACCTCCTCCCCCGCTCCCTCCTCAGCAGAAGTCCTGGAGCTGGAGGCTTCGTGGGGACAGATGCCACAGCCTTGGAGAGACAATTCACATCCTCAGCTTCCTTCAACCTGTGCAAGCACCGAGTTGCCATGGCGACACTGCAGCCCTGAGATGCAATGGCTGCAGACAGCACGGGTGCTTCCAGGGCTCAAAGCTGAGGGTGACGCTGCCTGGCCCTGGAGGCCAGGCGATTGGGCAGGCTGGGTGGGGGAGGAGGAGAGGGAGCCCTCCTCCAGGCTTGACTGGTAATTGCTGCTAAGTGAGGGGCTGTCATGGAACCCAACATGCAGGTAGTGGGGGCCCCCTGCTCTGCACCCTATAATTACTGCACCAGACAACACCTTGCTCCCTGTGTGAGGAGAGGGAGATGGAGGGGGGAGCAGACAGGAAGCTCTCATCCACCTGAGCCAGCGGGGCCCTGGTAGCCTCTCCCCACCGCCGGAGCATCCTGCATCCCAAGCAGCCTCTCTGGCAGAGGCAGGGAGGACCCGGGCTCCTTCCGCCTGCTGGCTCTCCCCAGGTCATCCGGTGTAGAACGCAAGCTTCTTTTAATCCTAGCCTCTGAGCTTGCAGCGTCCAAGGCGGGCAGAGGTGCAGGAACTAGGTAAGACACCGCCTCAGGGGAGCCCTGGGTGTCACACCTCCATTTGCAGAAGTCTGCATTGTGAAGCTGAATTGGTAGCAGAAGACCTTGGTTCTAATTCCTCCTGAGCCAGAGGCTCTGGAGACCTCAGGTTAGTCACTGCACCCTCCTGGGCCTGTTTCCCTAGCCGTAAGACGGAGAGTGGGACTCAGTCATTCTTAAGGACTCCTCCACAGCAGGGGCTGGCAAACTCCAGCCGACAAGCTGAACCCTGGTTTTATAAGCAAGCTTCCACTGGAACGCAGCCATGCCCTTTTGCTTCTGTATCTCTGTCTGTGGCTGCTTTCCTGCTACAACAGCAGACCTGAGCAGCTGCGACAGGGACCATATGGCCCCCAGATGGAAAATATTTACTATCTGGCCCTTTACAGAGAAAGTTTGCTGACCCATTTCTGAAGTATGAACGCCCTCCTAGGCTTGATGGACTGGGCTGGTGTGGCTCTGATCTGATTAGAACAATTTACAAGTCCCGTCCTAGTCTCTCTACCCGAAGACACCAGGGTGGGTCCTCCTCCCACAACCCCTGCCTGAGTGTGGATAGTGGCGGCAGGTCGGGCAGTTTCAGGAGCCGAAGCATGGTGCAATGGTGCCACCTGCTGTGAGTGCCTAAAAGCACTTGTGCCCGGAAGGACCACTGGCCAGCAGCTCCCACAAGGCAGGGGAACAGCTCACAGGAGCAGACCAGGCCTCAGAACCATCGCACATCAGAGCTGGCATCTCACCTCCTCCCTCTCCATTTTATAAAGAGGACTGCAGTCTAGAGGGGGGGGGGGGGCGACTGCCCAAGGTAGGTGAGCAGAAGGCCCAGGTCCCAGAGGCCCATAACCCTTCTGTGTAAGGTCCATGGACAAGCATGTAGGCATACAGTCCTGGCCGTAAATCCTAGCATGGCTGGCTGCTCATTTAGGGTCTCGGTCCTGTGGCTGTTAAAGAAATTTCAAAATACATACTTAAATGACATTTAATCTGTTACCAATATTGACTTGACCCTCAGAACAACTCTGAGATAATTATTATCCCCATTTCACAGATGAAAAAGCCGTGGTACAGAGAGGTTAAATAATTTGCTTAAGGTCACACAGCTAGTAAGTGACAGAGTCAATATTCAAATCAGGGGGGGGGGGTGCGACTTGCCCAAGGTAGGTGAGCAGAAGGCCCAGGTCCCAGAGGCCCATAACCCTTCTGTGTAAGGTCCATGGACAAGCATGTAGGCATACAGTCCTGGCCGTAAATCCTAGCATGGCTGGCTGCTCATTTAGGGTCTCGGTCCTGTGGCTGTTAAAGAAATTTCAAAATACATACTTAAATGACATTTAATCTGTTACCAATATTGACTTGACCCTCAGAACAACTCTGAGATAATTATTATCCCCATTTCACAGATGAAAAAGCCGTGGTACAGAGAGGTTAAATAATTTGCTTAAGGTCACACAGCTAGTAAGTGACAGAGTCAATATTCAAATCAGGCTGTGAAAGCATTAAAGTCCCCGGAATATGAAACTCGGTACCTATTTTTTCCTGCCTGCAGGTGTGGTGGGGCCCTAAGAGAGGGCACTGGGGCTCAAATAGGAGCATGAGAGACATGGGAGGCCTGGAGTATGACCAGTCCCCCCAGGAAGGCCCCAGGCAGGGAAAGGAGGGGAGAGGCCAGGCCCACACCTCCCTGCCTGTCCCCATACCTCCAGGCAACACAAGGTGGCCGGCAGACCGTAAACCCTTTATTTCCAAACTATAAACAGATCTGCTCTCTGAGAAAAGATGCTCTCCAGGCAATGAGGCCCCATCTTCTCCATCTCCCGCTCCTAACTGCCCCACAGTCCAAACCCGTTAAACCTCTGAAATCACCACCTTGGCTCTCAGAGCCTGGCAAGTGGCTGCGACGCCAGCACTGCTTGGGCCCCGCTCCGGCCAGGTCTGAGGCTGGCCTGGCGCTCACCCCTGTTTGACCAGCTCCCTGCCCTGGCCCACCACGCGCTCACGTGCTCTCGAGGCCAGCCTGGGAGGCCCTGGCCTGCTGCTCCCCAGCGGCTGGGAGGGTCCGCCCGGGTCCCCGAGCTGCCGACAGGTGTGAAGGCTGGGGAGCGGCCTGCTTCCAAGCTGTGCCCTGGCTGGTCACTGCTGCCCCTGGGCCACAAAGCGCCCCTCCTCCTCCTCGTTGTCTTCTTCCTCCGGCTGGCTGGTCCGGAGCAGCAGCTCCAGGTCGGGGCTGGAGCCCAGCCCCTTCACGGGCTTAGGGCCGCTGTCACCTGCGGACAGAGGCAGCCCAGTTACAGACCCAGTACCGGCTTTCTTGGTGTGGCCTGATGTGAGCATGTGCTGAGGCCCCCAGGCCCCCACCCACCCCCTGGAGACGATCCCCGTGACTTCTCGGAGGAGTGGCGGCGGCGAATCACCAGGCAAACTTCCTCAGTGAGAGGGACAGCCGGTGCAGAGGCAGCTGAACTGTGCAGACCAGACTGCAACTGCTTTGGGGAGTCAAGAGCCACCTGCCTCTTCCTGGCAGGGCTGGCGGAGGGGAGCCTGTGGGGCTAAGAGTCACGGGGAAAACGTCATCAGGAGACGGGCTCTGATTACCTCTGGAATGCAGGGCTTTGAGGGCGATGTGCAGGGATATTCCGGAGAGGCAGAGGGCGAAGCCCAGCCAGTTCAAGAGACTGATCTGATCGCCCAGCAGATGAGCTGCCAACAGCAAAGTGCAGACTTCCTGCAGGAAGGGGACGTGCTCAGGAAGAGGAGGTGGAGGGCAGGGGCCCCGGGCACACCCACAGGGTAGAGCCAGACCTGCCAAAACTCCCGGGGCCTGGGCAGGTTGGCCTGCAAGGCAAAGCTCAGCGAACCAGCCTGTGACGCTTTTTCCCCCTTTGTGTTACTGAGATGCAGCAGGGGGAGGTGCTTTTCACAGGGCTGTCAGGACTAGCAAACAAATGCAGGCTGGGAGCACAGGGTAGCAAGCCCACAGCCATGCCCACAGGAATGGAGGAAGCTGCCCTTCTAGAAGGCATCTGCGGATGGAGAGCCTCTGCTGCCACAGGGGAATGAAGTCACACTGGGCTCTACAGTGTCACGTGACATTGGTCACGGGGTTTTCGTACACACTGACTGCAAATGGGACCTGTCAGATGATGCATTCTGAGAAGCACAGCTTATGCCTCGTCATTTGGTTGGCAAGACCCTCGGGGAACCCTATACTTCTGGTTTTAGGCAACACTGCTCCAGTATCAGTGTCTGCCTGGTCCACGGCCCTGAGCATGAAGGAGTGAGAGAGGGTGGGGGAAGGAAGGGGAGAAGTGATGAGAGGAGAGGGTAGGGGTGCTGCTGGACAGCAGTAAAGGCAGGACTGGCGAATGCAAGGCACGCGTGATAAAACCATCCCTTACTGTGCCCATGGAAGACATTGCCAATCAATCACAGAACTCTACGCTAATGAGTCTGACTGGGGGCTTCTCAATCCTGGCTCCAGGTCACTGCCAAATGACCAGAGCTGGCATTCTTGGTAAACCATAAATGCATCCCAGGTCTAGTGGAGTCAGACCTGGCTTTGAATCCCACTCGGCTACCTCCTAGCTGTATATCCTTGGGTACGAGCAGCTCTTCATGTCTGTTTCCCCATCTGTGAAGCAGGGATGTGCATCCCCACCTCACAGGGCCATGGTGATGGAAGGAGTGCAGGTGACAGCAGAGTGCACAGCACCCTAACTAGGCACTTCCGTCTCTTCTCTGCAGGGTTCTGGGATGTAGGAGCTGGGACACCCTCAGGGGTCTCCCCTCTAAGACAGGGCTGGAGTCACCTCCAAGACTGTACCTTAAAAATGCCAGCAATGGAGAGAGTGAGGCTGGAGGTTCTGGAGACCAGGAGGAACTCAGAGAAGCCCAAACCAAAGGCGAGAATCCCGCCAAGGAAGAGGCTCCCAAGTACCCGCAGGAGCAGCCCTGTGTCCTGGAAACGGAAGATTTTCTCAGATGTGGACAAATGGAGACCTGCAAGCAATGGGAGGAGAGAGCGGGAGGCCACGTCCTGGGTGTGCCTGCCTGGGTGGCCTCACCCTACCCAGCAGCCACGTGAGCTTTGCCACTGCTGCCCTGCACACTCACTGCACCTGCTGCCTGTCTGAGGCCCTGAGCACAAGGACGGAAGGTGTCAGAGAATCCCACGGAGGTGGCCTGAGACTTGGGGAAACCAGGGAAGCCCCGGGGCAATACAAGCCAGAGATCCTTATAGGGAGTGATGGGGAGGCTTCTGAGCCTCTGGGCTAGAGTAGAGGGGGCCGGCACTGCAGAGGAAATCGGGCAGAAGCGCCTTGCTCCTTCATATGTCGTGTACCTACCTGTCTTTGGGGGGGGAGGGATGGGGGAGGGTGACTTCATGTGGCCTTGGCAGCTGTGATACCCAGTGGGCCAAAGAGAGACGGGACAGCCCATCACATGAGGACTGTCAATGTCCTGGGCCACTGGAGGAGTACCTTAATTTCAGGTGGGTCACCTCTAAACAGGGATGAAACTCTTATCTGTACAAACCTTCTCCATTTAGTTACAAAGCTGTGGGGTTTAGCCAAGACATGCCCCCTTTCTGGACCACAGTTCCCCCACTGGTTAAATAAAAGGGTTGGGACTAGACCGGAGAATATAATTTGATGAACAGTTCTCAAAAAGTAAACACACACGCGTACAAAGACATGACAAAACCACGGTCCCTTGTTCCAGAGACACCCACACAGGCCTCCACGCACCAAGTTGCGCTTAGACTTTCAGAGGACCCTTGGCCCTCCGACCCTGCCCATCTGAGAGAATGGTTCCTTTCCCTGCAGGAAAGGCCCCTGGTATAGAAGCAGGCGTGAAGCTGAACCCCCGACTCGGCAAATGGACACCTGTGGGAGCAGGAGACTGGCTGAGTCCTGTGAGATTTTTGGGGGGAAGCACCAAAGAAATGCAGGGTGACAGTCCCCCCTGGGCAAACAGCCTCCCAAGGTAGGACATCTTGTCTGGTGCTGGGCTCAGCAGTACTGCAAAGGCATTGGCAAATTGAAGGGAATTCGGGGAAGAGCAACGTAAGTAATGAAGGCGCTTGGGGGATTAATTTACCAGAAAAGATTAAAGGAGCTAAATCCCTGCAGCTCTGCTAAGTGATGACCAGCAGGGGCTCTCGGGTGGGGGTTTGCAGAGACCGGGAATGGTGTGAACACCCAGGAAGGGAGGGAGAGCGTGGCGTTTGGTGCAGGGGGCATAAGGAAGGAATGGAGAGAGATTTTAAAAGGGAAGAAAACAGGAGGCTGCAGAACAGAAGTTTCCTGGACAACGGAGCTGCAGGATAATTTTCTCCGAGAGGTCTGAGACACTTCACTGCTTGGAACTTAAATGGACGTGAGACGGAATTCTCTGTAATGACCCCGAGGACAGAAGGCACTCAGAGAGGAAGGATAAACAGATAGGGGACGAAGACTCATTCCAAAACACTGGGGAAAGGAAGGCGGTGGGCCACCTGCCTCCCCTTCCCCCAGCCCCCCAGCCTAGACACATCATCCTGCCTCCACTCTGGGAGACACTGCTCACCTGCCTGGGCTCCTGTGTGCCGCCCTCTCCCCTCCCCCTCTCCCTCGCCCCAGAAATGTGCACTCGGCCAAGGCCAATCCCCGACACGTCTCCCCACGTCTGAACCTACTGTTCCCCCTTCCTGGGCCGCCCGCCCCCAACAGGCTGTCAAAATCCCATTCATTCTCCAAAATGCACTGTCTGGGAAGCCTTGACCTGCCTTTCCACTCCACCATCCTGGAGCAATTCATGACCCTGTGCTCCTTCTAAAAGAAAGAACGCATCACGGTTAAGAGGAAGGACGCCGGAGCCAGCTGCTGGATCCAAATTCAGGTGTGTTATGAGCCACGGGACCTTGGGCAAAGCTATCTCTACTTCTCTCTGCCTCAGCTTCTTTCATCTGCACGACGGGGCAGTAACAGCACTGGCACACAGGCTTGGGGGAGTATTAAAGGAGTTAATATGCTTAAATTGATCAGAACAGCCCTGGCATACCTTTAGGGCTGTGTGCATTCACCGTCATCACCGCCTGGTGTATTCTACATGTGCTTTCTACGTAGCATTTATGTGCTGGATTCCAGCCATTTGGTTTAAGTGTCTGTCCAGCCCCCAAACCAGGCACTGCCAGGGAAGGGACCACCATCTCTGATCTCCGTAACCTCTGCAGCTACCACAGTGACAGGCTTGAGGCGGGGATGGGAGCTTTGCTGCACTGAGGTGCCCCCGAGGTGGATGACCCCACGTACCTTCAAATACGGCAAAGAGAGGGAAGAGCCCCAGAAACATGAGTGGCTGCAGGTGGAACATGGTGTCGATGGGGTTCTGGAGCCCTGCAGAAAGGGACACGGGCGAGCCATCAGGCCTGGCCCGCCCCCACCCCGCCTGGCGCCTATGGGCCCCTCACTCACCAAGCTCCGCCTTCTGCAGGAGCATCTGCGTGAGTGTCCAGCGAATACCCCCGATGAATGAGGCGCCCAGCACCAAGGCAAAGCCCTCAGCGTTGAACTGTGTGGACTTGTAGGTGAACATGAAGAGGCCCCCGGCGATGAGAAGAACCACCAAGACCAGCGCCGCACGCTGAAAGGATGGGGAGCAGCTACAACCACCTTGGGGGTCTCAAGTTCACACCCAGAGTTTGGGGGCCAGCAGCCACCTTGGTTGCCCCTGGGGCGAGACACCCTTCTACCTGCCCTACCCTGGGGTCCTGGCCAGCCCCTGCCCGTCGGTGTAGCAGGGCTGACATCCAGCTAGCATGTACCGAGATCCTGAAATACGGCAATGCTTCCCTACAGCTGTCCTAGGTCCCCACGTGGCCCCAATGGCCCCCCCGGACCCAGGAAGCAAAGGGCTCTTGCTGTACAGCGGGAAGCCCACAGGACCCACTGCCCCTTGAACCCTGTCTCCTTTGGTCACTGCTCCTGCCATACCAGTTTCTAACTATTCTCAGTAGCGCCCTGTGTCTAGGTCTTTCCTCAGCGAGTTACTGCCACCTGGGCTGGGCTTATCTCCTCGGTCACACGCAGTGACAAGCCACTGCTCAGGTTCCCCTTGTTATTCTTAGCATTTGTGGGGGTACGAGGAACACAAGAAAAGCTGGGGCCTCACCAGCTCCTCCAGCTTGAAGATCAGAGAGAAAATCAGGATGAAGAGGACAGCCGAGGATTTGGTCATCGTGTACCTGCGAGGGGAAGTCACCCATGACACACCGCTGCAGCTGGGGGCGCGGACCCACAGCACAATCAGTAGGCTGCAAAGGGTCAGGGGGAGACCCCTGACTTCCCTGAGGGCAGCAGGGCAATCTGGATACAAAGACCAAAGTAAGGCGGCCTGAGTCATCTGGGCTGATACCTGACCTTTAATCGGAAGAAATCTATGCCTAAGAGGCCTCTGATTATCACCAGGGAGAAACTGAGCTTTCTGAGTCCTGTTATTTACCGACCCCTCAGTGCAGACCAGGATGAGGCGGGAAGGAGAGAAGGGGAGAAAGAGAGAAGGCAGAGACTGTGCTTTGCTGAAGCACAAAATCTGAGATAAGAAAATAACTGTTCCGCCTGCCCCTCTGTGCCCCTTTCTCCGCTGCCCTGTCACCATTCCGTCTGAGAGCCCGGCTTCCCCAGGCCGCCTGGCAGGGAGGCACAACACCCCCTCCGTGCCTGGCTTACTGCAGAGGCTGGCGACTTCCAGGCGAGCTGCTGGGTGCCAGGGAGGCGTGGAGAGAGCAAGGGGGTTGGGTCCCAGAGGGCAGCGTGATGGCTGGCCCGTCGCCGGTGCGGTGCAGGACAGAGAGCCCCCAGGGTGGTGGCGGGCGTGGCCGGTACTCACAGCGAGACGGTGACGTAGAGGAAGCTCCAGTTGGACAAGCCCACGTCAAGCGCCGTTGCCAGTGCTGCAGAGACACGGCCCCACCGGACACGCAGCCGGGGCAGGCCCGTGCAGGTGTGCCCGCGGTGAGCACACTTCGGGAGGCGCCCGAGTGCCCCCTGCCTTGGCCTGTAGGCCTGCATTTCCCTGGGGTCCTCCCCGCCTTCCTTTCTACCTAGCAACTGAAGGGTTAACTCCTGGCCCCCCCCCAAAAGGGGAGGGGGCAGCAATCCTCCACCTGACTGGCTGCGGCCACTGCGGCTCCCACTTGTTGAATACTTGGAACATCCCCCTGAGGAGGGAGGGGTGTTAATCGGACCCTGACGCTCCCCGACTGGAAGCTCTGCAGAGTGGCTCCCACCTCCCTCAGGATGAAACACACACTCCTCTCGGAGGACCCGGCCCTCCAGGATCTGGCCCGGCCACCTCGGTTCGCCTTCCTCCCCCTTCCTCTTACCAATGCTGTCCTCAGCCTCTCGAGACACTTTCAGTTCCCTCTCAGACCTACCCACGCAGCAACCTCACCCAGGCACGCGAGTGCCTCCCCTCAACTCCCCCTCCAGGTCTCAGCCCACTCAGCCCCTGCTCCGGAAATCCTCCCCCGTGCCCCGTGGCCCCCAGGCGCCCCCTCTGCCGCCCGAGGGCAGGCACCCCGTGCCCTGCTCACTACTGTCTCCAGGCCTTGGTACCTGCTCGGTGTGCGTGTTCAAGGGCGCGGGAACGACTGGCCACTGCTGCACGGCCCCCCCATCCCCGCCCCGCAGCGTGGCCGGGAGAGCCTAAGCTTCAAGCCACAGAGGCTTCCTTCCTTCTGGTCTGGGCCTCTGGCTTCCCGAGCTCCCTCCTCCTGCCTCCAGGGCACTCCCCGGACCAGCCCGCGGGCACGTACCTGTGGGAGCCACTCTTCTGAGGTAGTCGGTCCAGCTCAGCACCACGCGGGCCCTGTGGCTGGAGCACTGAACCAGGGCCCTGGACAGGGCAGAGAACAGGAAGATCACAGCCAGGTGCAGCATGGTCATGAAGAGGGGGAAGTGGAAGCTCTGTATGGAGCCCAAGCACAGAGCACAGACGGCGGTGCTGTTACCGCCTGCCGCCGGCCCCCGGCCCCCGCCTCCCGCCTCCCTCCTCGCCTCTACCTGGTGGCGGGGCGCTGCTTAAGCAGCTCATGAGGGCGCCGCAGTGTACAAGGGGCCTTAGGAACCCCACGGCTCCCCAGCTCATCCTGCATGTCTCCCCGTCTCCTGATTTCCCCTCCATCCCAATATTTAAGGGGAATCCCTGGCGTGGCCCTGTCGCGTCACTGGTGTGAGTGGCTTCCAGTGTGACTAGCTGAAGCCCGTGCCTCCCTGCCGTTAAATACTGGGGGGCGCTGTAGTCCTGGCCGCAGCCATCTCCTACCCGGCCGGGCTGGCGAGGCCCCAGCGTTACCTTGGTCAGCCACTTGTTGTAGAAGGTGATGCCGATGGAGAAACAGTAGTAGAGAAGGACCAGCCCCAGAGTCAACACCGCCCTCCACACAAAGGCCACGTCGAGGGCCCACCTCCCCATCCGTGGAAGCTGCAGCTCCCCGGCTCTGGTCAGTGGGGGCGGACCTCTCCTGAAGATGCCCGCAGGGGCCGCAGGAAGGGCCAGTCGAGCTGGACCCACGACTTTCAACAAGCGCGTCTCCTGGCTGGTGCTCTCGCTGCCTCCATGATCGGGAAGCGTCTCCTGAGCCCTAGACTCTGTCCTCACCTAAGGGGCTGGTGGCCCGAGCCGACCCTCTCCATGATCAACTGCGTACACGACTCGCCGGACCCCAGGGCTGAGGCTAGAAAGAGGAAAAGGCCGTTCCGGTGGCTCTGGCAGGGGGAGGGCTACCCCACATGTCCTCCCCAGCCCTGGCCCGCAGGGAGTGGAGCAAAGTGGACAGGACTGCAGGACTCACAGCTCCCTGTCACATCCACTCTCCTGTCACTTCAAGCTGTTCTCCATGAATTTCCACCAAAGTGACCTTTTAAAAATGTAAATCTGATCATGTCAGAGAAGACTGCATCCCTTCAGTAGCTCCCAGGCTCCTACGATAAAGACCAAAACCCTTCCCTGGCTAAGAAGGCCTGCTCCGCCCTGCCGGACTCTTGGTGTCTTCGTCCTGCCACAGGGCTTTCCTTTTCCCAAACACATCGGGCTCTTTCCTGCTGCCCCAGGGAGCTGAAGGCTCTGCCCACCCTTCATTCCTTCCTCAGCAGATCCTGCTTATCTTCAGTTCAAATGGCATTTCCTCAGGGAGCACCGCCCACCCCCCCCATGGGCTCCCCTGAGATACAGGCTGCTCCCACGGCTCCCCTAGTTTTCCTTCATCGTGTTTGTGTGAGGCTGTGTCCCCCAAGGGGCTGGGCACTCCGAGCACACTGGAGCCACAGTGCACATGTCAGCTTACACCCACCTGGCACACTGTGTGTTCCCTGTATGCTTTGATGGCTCGATGCAAGAAAGGACACGTGATTTTCAGAAGATGGATCTGGGCTTTAAGGTGTTGAAAACGAACTGGTCAGTACTAGGGTGTGGACTACCAGTCAGTCAGAATTTGAGCTAAGTCTATATGCCATAGTTTACATCCTTTACCAGAAAAATAAATTCATGACAAAAAAAAAAAAACTAAGACAAAACAAAAACCAAACCGGAAAAGCCACACCTCCCATGCCCTAGCCTCTAACAACCACTCCCATGGAGGCAGTGCCTGCCTGAGGGTCTTGCCAGAGGGAACCACTCCCTGCCTCCCTATCAATCCAGCCAAGCCTAATGAGTGTCCAGAGCTCGCAGGCTCGGGGAGACCCGGCGGACCCGGGACCAGTGTGACCCACCTGCTGCCTCATCTCCTCCTCTGAGACATTCCCACCCTGCTGAAATGCCACCTCCTTCTGGAAGCCTTCCTAGAACCATCCAATCAGACATACCTTACCTCCCCCACCTCTGGTCCTTTCTAAAAGGAGAAATCACATTCAGTTCTATACTCTGGAACCTGGCTTACCGTGTCTCCTCCCCCAAGGCAAACTGGGAGCTGGCACAAGGTTTTGCCCAGAGGACACCCTAGGCTGTGGCTCTCTTCAGGAAACTCTGGAAACCTGTGTTTTGGGGAGACTCTCCTAGCTTTTAGTGAGTCGGGAATATGGGAGGACAGTCCACATAACTAAGAACTGTTCGGCACCCTGCATGACTTCAACATCCACAGAGGTGAAAGATCTACTTATAATTCCCTGAACTTACAACCCAACTCTGTTTCACATGTAACACAAAGTAAATTTTCCATGGGTCTCCTAGGCACTAAAATGTCCAATAATACCTATACCATGTACACTGAGGGGCGACTGAACTGTTTTTATAAAACGGTACCACGAGTTCCCAGTTTGGAAAAACGACCTCATCTGCAGACACAGCAGGCATGGTTTTCAAGCTGCCAACGCGACACGGCTGCAGCCACCTGCACTGTGGCTTTCATACTCCCAGAGGCTCTACCAGAGGTGAAAGAGCCCACTGCTTCTTCGTAGTTTCTAGTACCGCAGGGCCCAGGAACTCACATATTGAAACATTTTATTATCAATTACTTTCCTTTTATTTCCCTTTTATATTATGGTTAGGGGATCGTCAACTTTTTTTAAAAAAATTATGTGTAAGCCATTTTCATTAACCATGACTTTCCTTTGCGGATAATAAGGGGGGTTGTTACCGAAATATCTGTCGTTCAAAAGAAGGTGTTGTATCCAGTGGGTTGAGAACCTCTGTGCTAGGTGATCTCACGTGGTCCCATTCCTTGAAACGTGAGCTTTCATCTCCCCGGTGTGGATCCTCTCTCTGACCTCAACTCCACAAGAATATCCAACTGCCTCCTTGTCCTTTTCGGTTGAATGTCTAACATCAGGTGTCTCACACATAGCCTGTCCAGGGCTGCCACCTGTTTTCCAGGAGCCATCCACCCTCCATCCAAACCTCCTCTTCCCACCTCAGCCAGGGGCACCATCACCTGGTTACTCAGGCCAGAAATCTTGTTCTCACCCTTGACTCCTCTCTTTCCTGGTTACTCAGGCCAGAAATCTTGTTCTCACCCTTGGCTCCTGTCTTTCCCTCGGTCCACATTCAATCAGCAAATACTGTCTCCTCTATCTTGAAAAAATATCCCCAATAAGGTCCCACCTCCTGACCTCCACCACTACATCCGAGTCACCATGCTCCCTGCCCTACACAATGCACTGGCCTCCTATACGGTCCTCTCTGCTTCTGCCTGCAGCCCTCACAGTCAGACTCCTCTCCCCCAGCCAGAGAGGGCAGCACGGGGGCACCAAACCTACATCTAACAGAACTTTAGGCCCATGCTCTTTCCTCTATACCAATGTTTCCCAACTTTGGCATTACTGATATTTGGGGCCAGATCATTCTTTGTTGGGAGAAGGCCTGTCCTGTGCACTGGATCCCTGGTCTCTGCGCACTAGGTGCCTGTAGCATCCCTTCCCCCTCATCCCAAGCTGTGACAAACAAAAATGTCTCCAGGTGTCACCAACTGTTACCTGGGGGCAAAACTGCTCCCTGTTGAGATCGACTGCTGATGTCCCACAGGCAACCACAGGGCGTGTTGGCACTAAGGGAGCTTTCTCCTGGCACTCCGTCCCTGTGGTTCCCCCAGGGCTCCCATGCCAGGGCAGTCTGCACCCTCCTGTGAATCGACTTCTTGCACCTTCTGGCTTCCAGTGGGGTTCCTGCTCCAACACTGCCATGCCCTCCCTCCACCGTTCAAATCCTACCCTTCCTTCAACGAGCCAGTCCAGGTCCCCCACCTGCAGAAAGTCCCCATGCCCACCCCAGCCCACGCGGAGCACCTTCTCAAAGTCAAGGAGGCTCCTAACTGGCGTCCGTGCTTCCTCTCCCCTGCTACAGCCTGGAGTCCACCAATCAGCCCCAGAGGTCGTCTGAGCACAGAAAGCAGACCAGGCCCTCTGGGGCTAACCCTGACTCCTCAGCAGGCCCAAGAGGAAGGCCTTCCACCCTCTGGCCTCTGCGCATATCTGCAACCTCATCTTCCCTCCCGCTCACCCGCCACGCTGGCCCCTAGCTTGTCCAACACATCAAGCCTGTGTCCTTCTCTGCATTTGCTGTTCCTTCTGCCCGGTACACTCCTCCACAGACCTGTGCTTGGCTGAACATCCTGGGCGAGGGGGAGCCCTCCTAATCCTCCCGGCACCTCCCACTACCTGACGTTTCCCTGTTTGTCCACGTGTTCATTGCCCATCCCCGACTGCCACCCCACCGCGGGACGCGGCCTCTCCACGGGCAGGGCCGGGGCCGCGTGATGCCCGCCTGGATCACGTCGCGGGCGCTCGGGAAACGCCGGGGGGAGCGCGCGCGCGCGCGCGCGGAGGCCCGGACCCCTCTACAACCGGGACACTGAGGCCCGGGATAACGAGCTCCCCGGGGGGCCCCGAGCTGCGGCGCGCGTTGCCAAGCCGGGACCCCGCTCCCAGCCCCGCCCGGGTCCACCCCCCGACCCCGGGAGGGCGCAGAAGGGCCGCCGCGCGGCCACTCACCTCGGCCGCGGAAGCTCCAGGCCCGGATCCTCCTGCCGGAAGTGCGAGGCCGAGCGTCTCCACGGGGGGGCAGTTCTGCCGGAAGCCGCTGAGGGCCGAGAGGGGGCGGTGTCGGGGGCGGGGAGGCGGTCGGGGGCCGGTCCTTCTGTGCCGTCTGCGGGACCCAGAGCTGTGCGCTTCCGCTGCTCGGGAGACCCCTGCGCCCCGATGCCGAGACTCCCCTCGTTCGGTGTTGTTTGTGTCTCCTGCGCTCAACCAGGGTCTCGGTCTGGAGCCTCGGTGCCTGCTGCGGAGCCCTGCGCATCGCGGGCAGCCAGAAAACAATCACCTACTTACAAATTAAGTACTTACCGTATTCCAACACAGTGCTGGGCAACCATGGAAACACCAAGCTGGATCTCTCCTGGGCTTTTTCTTCTGGGAGCTCAAGCCAGCTGGGGAGTGATGTCAGAGGCATTAAGTTTTAGGACTTACAAGATCCATGGGAGGGAATAAATAATAAACATTTGTGAAACATCTTCCGTGCGCCTCAAAACTTTATAAGAATGATCTCAATTTCATTAAGTTGAGTAAGGGGAGAGCATCCCAGACAAGAGGAAATAAGGAGGCGAGGAGAAGGCTGGAGCCTGGCTTGGAGTCCACTTGTTTATAAGGAGAGTTAACAAAAACCGTGGTTGGAAAAGTAGCCAAGGGGCAAGCTGCAGTAGTCCCCAAAATGCCAGCTAGGGAGTTGAGGCCTTACTCATCTTTCAGGATGGATTAAAAGGGTCAGAGCAGTTAGAGAGAGAGAGAGAGAGAGAGAGAGAGAGAGAGAGAGAGAGAGAGACAGAAACATTTAAGCCAGGGCAGGCTAGGGTTGCAGAGTGAAGCCCAGCTTGGGACTTTTTGCCCCTCCTGGATCTGTGGCTCTAAGGCTGGCTGCAAACAGGAGTCCTTGCAAGTGACTCAGCTGGGCTCCCTGGCCTCTCTGAACAGAAGGCTCAAGGCCAGAGTGTAAGCAGTTCTTTATGCAAACCGCTGCTGCCCCGCCCCCACCAGCTGGCATTACCAGGCCTTCGTTCATTCAGCACTTACCAACACCTACAATGGCACCCAAGCTCTTGGCTTTATTGACTCCTCAAGGCTGCATGTACTTTCTATGCCTTTTGAAAGCGCTTGTCCTCGACCCCGTCTTCAGAGGCAAGATAAAGTACCTACTTCATCACCGCCCTCATTCAAGCCTCCCAGCTACCAAGGCTGAGGTTTGAGTGACAGAGACAGTGTAGAACACCAGCTGGCAGGCTGGGCACTAAGCACCAGCAACACACAGGGTGAAGAACACGTCTTCTTTGTCAGGCACTAGTACTCGAGCTGTTCCCTGGCTGTGGCCCTGGCAGGGAGGAGGGGGAGGCCATGTCCTCGGGGGTGCACAGTATGCCTTTTTCTGCTATACCTGGAGGGCCTGAGTGGAAAGCACTTTGTCCTGGTGTGACAGTCTGTGAGCATCCTTAACCAGCAGGGGTGTGTGTGTACGTGTACGTGTGTGTGCAGGCATGTGCGTGGTGGGGCAGAGTCGCTGAAGAGGAGGAAGGGGCTCTGGGAAGGTGGCTGAGGGCTCTAGCTGGAGCTCTCCAACGTCTCCCAGACACAGTGAAATGAACGCTTGTCAAGGTGAAAGCTCCCTTGGGCGGGGAGCAAGTACAGAGAAACAGCTGTTAATGGGAACCAGTTTGTACATGAAAGAGTATTTATTGAAAACATGGTTACTGACAGGAAGCTCCTGGCCACTCTCAGGTTACAATCTTGGCTCACAACTGGAAGTGTTACCTTTTATTTTTTTTGGCCTCCCATTTTATTTTCCCTCAAATGTTCCATCCTAGGATAGGTAGATCTTATATAAATATATATACATGTCTGTATAAGTATGGCCTATAGTAAAGAAAATATATAGTACACTCTTCATTGGGCAGTACCCACCATGCTAGGCTACCAATACTGAATGCCACCGTGTCCACGCGTGTCCAAGGAGACGGGCTGTGCGTGTGGTTTACAAGTGCTGCAGCACCAGGGAAGCCTCACTGGCACAGCTGTGGCCTCCGCTGGCCCCAGCCGGCTCCCTGAAATCATGGCCAATGGCAGAAACCACAGCGCGGGGGGAGGGAGGAAGGGAGGCTAACCTCCCGAGGTCTGGAAGGCCAAAGGAAAGCAAACCGGAGGGGCCGCAATTCAGGTGAGGTGGGAGCTTTCTCCCCGAGGAAGGAAAAGATATAAATGTGGCGGGAGGGGAGTGGAATCTAGTGACCTCACCACAGTCTAGACCCAGGCTTCATCTGGGCTCTTCCTTGAGACTAAGAGGGTGGGACTAGGCCTGCATGTCTCTGACTTGCCAGGATGAGAGACAGAGCTTGTAGGGAGACACAACCATCTGCCCAGACAACTGCATGGGCAAGAGGATCTGGTGGCTCCGGAGAGCAGAGATGTCAGAGATGAACCTCAGCAGCACGTCGGCCCTGGCCGAGGCCAGGTGAGCCCTCACGAAGACGGCAAAAGCAAGGGCAAGGCAGCTACTGAGCAAAGGCCAAGGCTTCCACTTAGAACTGAGACACAGGCCCGGGTCACCCGAAGGCAGCCTCTCCAAGGCTCTCAACATGCCCAGCACGTCTGTCCTCTGGGGCAGCCTTTCCTGGGCCAGCTCTCACCCGCTTGGGGATCCAGGCAACTGGCGAGCAGGGTCAGGAAGAAAAGGTGAGTGGCCGTTGTTAACTCCGGCTCAAGAAGCAGTTTCTTGGCCTGGAAGGCAAGGGCGTCTGCTGTTTATTCCTCACGGCCCGACCCCAGGCTCCCCGGTGATGGGGACAGCAGAGCACCCTGCCTTCACGACTCAGAGTGGACAGGGACCAAGAGGAAGCTCTGGGTGGCCCGAGGTGTGTCTGAGGAGTGACTGGCATGGACTGGCCACCATGGTCACTATAGATTCTGTACAAGCAAAAGACAAGGCACCAGACTGTGAGTGTTCCTCCTGGGCCGCAAGTCCCTTGCTGGGTACCATTGGCTCCGGCTCTGGGCTCAGCCGTAGTGATAGACAAAGTCGTAGCTGCTGGGCTCCTTGGGCACTGGCGGTGGGGCCTCGGGGATCTGGATGTTCTCCAGGTCCAGCAGCCGCAGCTTCATCTCCATGCTCAACAGGGTGTCCAGGTCACTCTTGGTCAGCTCGCTGGACATGTCCTTCCCCAGAAGGGCACTGAGGCCGTCGATCCAGATGCAGTACTGTGGGAAGCAAGTTGCAAAATGTCACTGGTGGCCCCTGGTCAGCGGGACATCCTGCCAAAGTCCCTTTGCTGACACGGCTCACACAGCCTCTTTGGGCCCTATTCAGTACAGGCAGGACTTACCTGGGATAAGAGCAAAGGTAAACTGGGAGGTGATCATTCACTTTCTCAAAAGACCTTTTGATTTTTATAAGGGATTTACATTTAAACTCCCTAAGATAATATGAAGTGTGATTTTTAAAAATGCAATTAATAAATACAGCAAAACAAGAACTAAGAACAGGGACAGCAACTAGTTTCTCTTTAGAGAAACCTGAAATTGCCCCGGAAATTTGTAATGGTAGCGGGGAGCACATATTAGGTGAAAAGGCAGGAAACAAGAGGAATCTCTGTAGAGTCTCAATTTTGTTTCAAAAGAAGTTAAAAAAAACAACCGTCAATAAATGTTAAAAATAAGTACTAGAAAAACTGAACTAGAGGGTCTCATGACAAGAGGGAATAACAGAGAATTCTCAGCCCATCCCTCCCTAACTCCTGTTCCATCTTTTTCCTGCATTTGCTCACCTGTCTCCCACCTGCTAGTTCTTCATTTCTTCCCAATCAAACTCCACTGGCAGCTCAGGCCCTGCCTAAGGGTCTCCTCTTCCAGAAGCCCCACCTCCAGTTCCCTCCACTGGCTCTCAGAGCTCACCAGACATGTATGCTCTCAACCACAGCTGCTTTTCAATATCTAGCATCTTCTAGTGCTAGAGCTGAAACTGTAGTCCCCGTGTAAAGAGGACCAGATCCACCTGGCTTCAAAGCCCAGGTCAGGTCCATTACAACATGTGCCCCAGAGCCCTGGAGAGGGAGGATCTGTCAGGCTCACTTGGGTGGGTGGCCATGTGGAAACTGAAAAGAGGAGCATTTTCCTAGTTCCAGGCAAATAAGTTATCCCTAGTTGATCCTGTCTTTCTAACGACAACCTACCACTGCTGCTAAGAGTGAGCTGGAGAGCCCAGCTCAGGGGGAAGGACCCCCAGAGTGGCAGATCCTTGGTGTCAGCAGCCTTCGTCACCCTCTGGGGCCCCTGCCTTTCGGGGGATGTTTCTGTTCTGCCCACCCCTCCCCTCCAGCTGCAGGCACAGAGAAGGCCTGGCTGCCCAAGGCAGCGCCACGCTGCTCACCTCATACTTATTAGGTGCAATGAAGTTTAACGTTTCGTCGGGGTCATACAGGATGGAGAAAGCCAATTCCAGCACCTCCTAAAGGAGAAAGGGCTTCAGTTATTTGGAGCAAGGGAGTGGCCTGAGCCCTACATACCAAGAGCTTGGTCAAAGTCCTAGTGACTTGGCACCACCACCAAATATGCTGATTCAGATGTGATGTCATCAAGGTCCCAGGGCTCATGCACAAATGTGGCTGGAGATGAGGGCACCGGTAATCAACCCTCACTAACCCACCTAAGTCATGCCTAGGATGTGGTGATACTTTCTAAGATTGGAGAAAAATCATTTCTCAACACTCGGAACCTTTGAATGTCAGAGTCCACGACTGTATATTACCTTACATATATATCTGGGTAATTAAACTGAAAGTCTTAACAGTTTAAAAAAACCCACCACAACAGAAACAAATTGTGGCCAAAAATGTGACGATTTGAGCATCAATGACATAACTGTAATGACTGAAACAAATGTAATAGGCTTAAATCCATGAGTTCACAATACCACTAAAAAACAAAGCAAAACACATGCACAAAATAGGTCACTGTTGGATGATACCAGGGAACTAAGTCCTTGTTTTAAAAGTAGGT